TTCTATTCATGTCTTCTGGAATGACCAATTGGGTAGAGCGTTTCATTCATGTCTTCTCGAATGACCATTTGCGTAGAGCGTTTCTATTCATGTCTTTTCGAATGAACAATTGGGTAGAGCGTTTCTATTCATGTCTTCTCGAATGACCAATTGTGTAGAGCGTTTCTATTCATGTCTTCTCGAATGACCAATTGGGTAGAGCGTTTCTATTCATGTCTTCCCGAATGACCAATTGGATAGAGCGTTTCTATTCATGTCTTTTCGAATGACCAATTGGGTAGAGTGTTTCTATTCATGTCTTGTCGAATGACCAATTGCGTAGAGCGTTTCTATTCATGTCTATTCAGCCATTTTGTGTAATATATCATCTTACAGTTCTTCCCCTGAGGAATTGAGAGGTCATATGTCAAACCAACTGTAACACCACAGAATGGCAAAGTCACAAATTCATGGATGAATATTATATAAGAGGGAAAATTCAACTTTCCCATCATATTGTTTATTGATTGTTTCTGTTAATATTCAATAAACCACTTAATGAACAGTTTTGAAATTTGTTAAACAGACAACAGTTGTTCAATGACCAAATACATCAGTATTTACTGATTACATAATTTACTAGTCATCTCTCATCTGGAATAGATCGTCAGGAATTAGATATGTGTATTATTAATTGGGCCACATGAGAAGAATATATTTCATCTAAATCTGTTCATTCATTTTGGCGATATCCACTTACTAGTAAATGCATATCAGCATTAGATCTTTGGAAACTAGACATGAGTATGTAATATCCATAAGGATTATTTACCCTATCCCAATGCCCATATGAAACTTTTCACACACTTTAAACAATTATGAGTTTATTAGAGTCACAAGCGTATGCATACTTTTTCATCAATATACACCAGTATGTAAACAAATTGATATGGGTTTGTAAATGGTTTGTTTTATTTAAATTCCATGTAAGTATAAATGTATATTTAGATAACCGGTCACTGGTAGCATAGTGGTTGTCGCATCAGACTCATGATCGGTAGACCCAAGTTCAAATAATACCTTAGGCTGAACATCAAAAGGTCGACCCCTACCCTGGGTGAGTGTGCCAAAGACTCAATGGGAAGGCTAATTCCACTGGCCGAGATTCATTCACTAACGAATGCGACTTTGGGGGAATCTTGGTTAAGGTCCGCAGGTGCTTGTGTTTGACCGAGCCTGGTTGACGCCAGGATAGCGCATTAAAAAATGCCATTTGACAGAGAGATGGCCACACAGCCCTGTCATGTACTCCCAAACATGATTATGACTTCTGTGGCAAAATGCACTATGTGTCAGCACTAGCACTTGCAATTTGCACACACAAAAAAATGTCAGGAGAGACAACAGTGATACTCAATGTCCAGAACTGTCGCCTGGCACAAAAAATATTTATATATAAAAAAAATGTATATTTAGAATGAACATCAAGAAATTAGATAAGCACATAGTTAGCGAGATCACGTGACAAGTCAATACTTTTCATATACCAAATCTTTTCATATATATGCACAATTATCCAGTTAGTGGTAAATGTGTATCTGTACTATATCTCTGGGAATTAGATTTGTGTATAATTAATTAGGTTGCATGCCTAGATAGTCGTGTATCCTAATCTCTTTATACATGTAGATGATGTCAGTAACCCTACAAAACCAAATGCATGTCGACAATAGACAACTGGGAATTGTATGTGTGAATAGTTAATGAGGTCACATTATGACTGCTACTACATCCCAATATATTGACAATATCATAATATTAATATGCATTGTACGGATAATACATAATATCTCTTAAATGTTTTGTAACCAAAAATAGTATATCCAATTTTTTTTAGACGTGTGGACAGCGTCCAGTTGGCAACAAATGCTTATCTTGCATAGATCTATACATAATTAATGAAGTCATAATGCATTGCAACAAAAAATAGTTATGACCCGAAAAAATAAGAGACCCGATAAGCAATTTACTGGTATAGCACTCACCTATGAGAGTCCGCCACAGACACGTCGCAACACCACCCCACACCCATCATATCTGTGCCCGTTTTGGATCGATGGGAAACATTATGTGATACACAAAGGGTTGTCATCTCACGGCGAAGGTCCTAGAGCAAAGACAAAGTTCGGACTTGTACACTTTAGCAGTTTTACCGTGAGTTGACAAGTCCTTGTGCTGATAGATTGATGGTACAGAAATACAGTTGAAAAAGGGATTTCGGGTTATTTTTCATTATTTTTGCCATCAAGAGGGCGCTTATTCCAATGTCATGCTTTCTCGCGTTCATTTGTGTGTAATTTAGGGCAGTTTACGTTATGTTGACAACAGTGTGAGCTGTTCACACTGCCAGTAGAACACCGACACTGCTGCAACTGCGCTGTGAACAATGTAATAGAATGTCTTTTAATGAAATAAAATCACGCGTAGAAGGCAATTCCACAATTTTAGATACCAGTTTATTTCTATGTTTCCTTTTTTATTATTTAGTAAATAAATGACTGAAAACATGTAATTAGAATGCTGTTGCTGCAACTACATAATAACTGTTCATGTATTAGTTAGCATGCTGGTTTTATTTCGAAATGTTTTGCTATTTTGCTCTGGTTTATAGATTTCAGTGTTACTCAACGAATCAAGCAGTGTGCAGGTCAGCTCAGTGTGCTAGTGTGAACTGGTACGCATATCGACGTTGTTTGGCGTACTGCTACGCCCAAGGAAAAGATGGTGTCGGATATGTTTGTAAAAATAGTTCTTCATCAAGCTGATCCTGCCGAAATTATACCAATTACAAGTTCATAAACCATTGAGGTAAAAAGGGCGTCTATAAGTAAGCTCAAAAAGGTTTAATCACATCTCTTGCACTTTTGCAACTTATAAATTTGTGCGCAGGCATTCGTTACACTCTGAGAGAGTCCCGAGAGCTTGCCATGTACGATTGAGTGTGACAATTTACTGTTTTAAGTAATGTATTTGTAATATTATTACGTACAGTTTTGGTTGCATCTAGTACATTCTAGATATGTATTCTAAACTCTGATAATCGCGTAAATGACCTATATACTGCACACATTCAGCTATCCAGTGAAATTCATTGCCAGAATTTGTAACTTGCTAGCATGTTGCCAACATCTCAAGTTCAGACGTTTCAACAATATTCGCAGCATCTAAATTGGACATCACCAGAACAATACATTGATATGCAAACACTTTGTGGCATAGAGTCCAACTCACGAGCTCGTCACACGGGGTGCTTTGTAGTGGGTGACATACAATAAATCTCGATATATAAATGTTTGTATTTTCAATTACTTTGTGTACATAACACAGTTGCTAGAGAAAGTAAATGTTTGTGGAGGTCACCAGCCTCGTCCATGTACTGTGCACGTCTCTCGTGGGGTTAACTTAATCTCCTTACATTATTTACATTAATTGTGTACAAAAAACAACACCATAACCTGGTGAGACATTCTACTACATTAAATAATTATCATAACTGTATAATAGTCATGGTTTATTCTATGATGGTCATATTTTTTTAATTCCGTAAGCGTTCAATTAACACTTTGACCTCAATCGTCGCACCCTTTTGTGTTCAATATATATAACAGTCCGGCGCATTATCGTACATTTTGATTACTCTTACACATACGGTCAATTGATATCATTTAGTTAATTGATATTGAATTTATTCACTGAATAATTTGTATTTTTCTTACCACCCCCTAAGCATAACACAATAATCCATTGTTCTAAGATACGCGTCTTTTATGGATACGCACTTTGCCATTGTGTCAGGTTCTCCTTGAACCGTGGACAATCGAAATTCTGATGGGTTTTTGTAGATGTTGTAAATTGTTATTATTAGGTCGGAATGTTATACAGTTTAATGTCATATTAACATTTTAATAAATAACACTAGTACTGGCGGGTCAGGAAATTCGGTAAGGGGCGAGCTCCTATTGACGTGGCGTCCGCGCATCTCCGGTGGGCTGGGTTTTTCAATTGATTTGTCTGAAGGGAGGGGCGAGTGAATAACTTAGATTACTACGAACACCCCTTTTGTACAAAAATTAGATTTATTATATAGCCCTTCTCAGATTGTGTGTTGTTGTTGTTGTTGTTGTTTTTTGACATGGAATATGACTTGCATGATCCGCAAGATCGACAACTCATGATTTATTTTTGTTGGTGGCTGCTATCTGTTATGCCTTTCATTACAGGTTGGCTTAAAGAGCCAATCACCGTGATGTATCTCGAAGAATGTATGAAATTATGATGTGGGATTCATAGCGACGTACATAACCCGTGTAAAATACATTGTTTGTTTACATGACTTGCGAAAACGCGCCGCGCGACGACCTCCTTTAACATAGAATCGCCTCTGGTGACACAAAATTGTCGTTTTGGTACGTACATCTTTCCACTCTTTCCAATACCATTCGTGCATCCCTCTAAAAGTGGAACTTCGTCCGGGCCTACCTTCGCCTTGTCATGTAAAGACTGTGATGACAGACTTGTACTAGTTTACAAACTACACAACAACTGTGTACAAGATACCAGTATTCAAATTGGATGTGACGGGACCACTAATAATAATAATATATAGTAAATGTAAGATTTAGCGTAAACCAAAGTAAAAATGTGTGCATATCAAAACAACCAAATATAAAAGACATACGTAATATATATGTATGCCATATTGTTTCATTGTTTCAAGTTGGAGATATTGGGGGCTTGAAATGCGACAAAGACGTAAACATGTGTCTTGCACGAGTGAGACACGTGTTGAGTTTTTCCAAATCACGAGTGCACCATGATGTGGAAGCATGCAGGTCTGCGACATTTGACCAATTACAGGGCTACGGGGAGTCAGTATGGTTCACTGTGATTGCTATAAAACCCCAAACACAATGCAGTTGACGCCCAGTAAGATGTGTTCACTGTGATTGGAGTAAGCAATGATGGCCCACAAAGAAACCAGTACAAATACATCTGATAACAAGCAAGACCGGTCCACTAAGTCATCACTTTCGTCATACGACAACTTCGCCATGGAAGAAGGGGGTACAACTGCGATACTTTATGGAAATTCCAGCTCGTGGAAAAACAGAAATGACGACATGGTCAAGAAAAGTATAAGTGGTAGACCGCTGATTATTGTTCTTGTATTCGCCCTGATAGTCGTTCTCGCTACCGCCACTACGATGATCGCGTTATTCGCTACTAATAAGCTACCAGTTAGAGACAGCGTAAAGGACCAAGGTAAGTATATGATTATCACAGACTAAAGTGCGTTGCTGTGATAATAGTGCATAGAAAGTTTAGCATCCGAACATAACAATAAAAAAATATCAAAGTGGCTGTGTTTTTCCCAGCACGAAGGACAGTGTTGGCCATTCCTAGATGTTTTCTGTCATATAATCTCAGTCAAGAGCGAGCTTGATTACCCTTATTGGTGTGTGTACTCGTTGACTTGTATTCCGTTGAACCATGCCTGATCAGGTGCCACCAATCCCTATTTGTTCCACTATAGTATGTTGTATTACTATGCCCCACGGACGTTGTAGATGATTTGTGGGTTTGGTTCATATGACCCAGTGACCAGTGGTAATAAGTAAAGCGTCTATGGTAAGTCTTCTGGACGTATAAATACCTGCTCATTATATTTATTATTATCAGCTTAATTTGACAACATGAGTTATTGTTTACAAGACTAATACTAAATATGGGTATAAACCAATCAATTACACGATTTTATTGCGTCGCACACTTGAATTAATGATTTATATTTTTTTATCAATACATTTATTGACGCTGCTGTCTTTGAAGAAGGGAACAAAATGGAAGCGTCATATTATCTAAAGTTGTAGGTGTATATTACTCACATTCTCTACCAGACTCTACCTACTATTTTCATATACGACAGTATAAATGTTTGATTGTATTTCTTATTAAACACGTTCAATGATGCTGTTGTTATTTAGCTTTCGAGAAGAGATTGGAACTTGGGGATATTATGTAATAACTTTTAATCAATATTGTAATTATGTTAATCACGAGCAATGCAAAGTTTACAAATATTGCAATGATGACGATTTCACAAATATAAAAAACAGATGGTGACTTTAGAGAATTATTATTATTATTATTATTATTATTGCAAGCTGTTTGTGGCATACTTCGTCAGCAAAATGCCAAATATTTATGTTTTAAGAAAGTAATGAAACTCTCAACTCTAAAAGAAAATCTCAGAAACTCTACTCGACTGATCATTGTTGTACAATTCTCCTGATTTGCCACCTCCCGTCCTCGTTGCAACAAACTCGTCTTTTTTTTAGCTAGTAATGCCTCAATTGCATGGTTTTCGTGATCGGTGAGGTTTTTATCTAGAAAAACTGCGTGATCTTTTCTGCTTGGGTCGCCTCGCTCTACTGTATTTTGATACAAGATTGGCTGTTTATTTTTGTCGCATCTCCCCTCATTGTCGTTAAGGGCGACTATTAAATACACACTTTAGTGGTTCAATCTGCCAACGGTTAGTTTTGAGAGGTTACCCGAAAGAAACGTTCCTTGGCTAGCGAAGATGAAAAAAAAAAATACGTGACAACTTCTTTGCTCCTGGAATTGCCACACCTTCTATTACCATTATAAATGACTTCCCGGGCCAAGTTATAACATTGCGAGCTATGTCACAGTTTCAAACCATCTCTACTAGGCACTTTGTTTCTTTACCAAAGAACATACAACACACGCGAAACACGTGGATATAGGTTGGCCATAAACGTCGTAGACGGAGATTCTTAATATGTTCATATCACATACATTCAACTGTGTTCATTCAAGTATTTACTTGGCGCCTTTGGGTACACATGCATAAATACTCTAATTGCTGAACCCCGCTTTTAATAATCATCTACATTGTAATAGGCTTATCTGCAAGATCTTGTGGAAACAAAAAAATACAAAAGAAAAGAAAAGAAAAAATACAAAGTGATCTTGGCACTCGAACATGCAGAAATATATTTTTAACTTACAGATGATTTGAAATTTGAACCTGAACCTAAACCTAGGCCTGAACCTGTAGCTGAAGATGATTTGATATTTGAAGACACGTTTGATACGTTCCGATTTGACTGGTGGCAACACGAGATGACAGCAGGAGGTGGTGGGGTAAGTAATAATTCAATAATCACGTTATAGACAATAGTTGCATTCCATGTTCATGATTTAAAATGATAAAGTTGTTTTCAATTTATGTTCATGATATCGAGTTTTAGTCTTCAGATTCACTCACAAATATACGTTTATGACATCATCATTCGAAAAAATCCCTAATTCTATTATTGTATTATCTACTTACAGAACTGGGAGTTCCAATACTACACGAACAACCGTTCGAACAGTTACGTCAGGGATAATATCCTGTATATTAAACCGGTAATGTTGAATCACTGCATTATTTCGCAATAATTAGTCTAAATCTCCCTATTTTTATATTTATATACTAAAAACAAATAAAAAATTCGTCCTAGTGCATAATGTTAAATGAAGCTGTGTATGATTTACTTGTATTCTAGACTCTGACTCTTGATAAATTTGGAAATGATGAACACGGCATTTTGTATGGCACACTGGACCTATGGGGTATGCATTATAAATCGTCTGTTTGCCTGATGAGTACTGCCTTCAAAGTTGTATTATCAGCAAAAAAATCAAATTTTGAATCTGCGGCTCAGAAGTCAAATCTGTATCGCAATAAATCCCGTCATGCATTGCTGTTTCATATTTCATATGTTCGATATTTGCGCGAAAGCAGTTTTACCAAGAGTAAAATCGTCGTCATATAAATTAAGAAAGGAATGACTACTAAACATGACTAAAAATGATATATTATACGCACCCCAGGCTATACTTACTTCACAACGAATATCGATTTTGTGATACATTTCGTCTTCGGTCGTCGAGCAAAATATTCCGCTTGTGATTCAGTAACTTGATGTCATCCCATGATGTTGAATCCCCAATCACAGCCGAATCTACAGAACTGCTCTGTGACGTTCGACCGGATGGGGATGTATTTTCAATACCGTAACTGTTATAATTACGTATATTATTTTACATGCTAAATGCTTCAAATATAATATTTGCAGCCCATACAACTTTTAGATAACTATGACAACAATGCGTCCTACAATATCGATTCTACTTAACACTCAAAACAATTGCCCTTTAACTTTTCAACGATCAAAAAGCGAATCAATAATATAGCATAACTACGATATCAGAAATAAAATCTACTTACCGACTATCACAGTAATATAACGATACACTTTAATGTCCACATGTCCACTCTATTGTCACAGGCCACACACCTGCTAATCTCTGTACTGGCAATGCAT